AAGAGGAAATCCAAGTATTAGAAAAGACTCTACATCACACATGCTCACTCCAGAATGGGTTAAATCTCTTCTTCCCAATCTGCTTCTTTAAAGAACTGCGACAAGTAAGAAAGCTCACTGGGTCTTGCCTGGTCTTAAGTGCCCCAATTCAAGTAGCTCTGACAGTTTTGGAAAAAAAATATTATTTACAATCTATATACAACTGGCCTCCTACTACAAAATATCCAAATAAAAGAAAAAAATCAATAACCTCAATTTGATTAATATTAACTGTGAAATATTATCAGAAAATAAGTGATCTGAAATTAGAGAAGGTGACTTTAAACCTTAAACACAAACACAAAACCCAGCAGACACTCGGCTCCTAACTACATCTAGAATTTACACAGTCAGCAAAATTTCACTTGTAAGTCTGAGATTTTCCAGTCCAGTAGTGTCTTGTTCATCCCCTCCATATAAGTTCTTAATATTGACAAAGCAAAGAAAGTTACTTCAACAACATTTTCATTGGTTTATTAGTTTGGTTAGGTAGAACACTCCACCTTTGATGGTTTCCTTTCATAAGAATTTAATCAGATTTTTAAAAAAGCAGCAAGCGCCTGTAAACACATTTCTGCCTGCTTCTCCACGTACTCTTGCAAATCTAAGAGTACGCAATATAAGACCGGAGAGATGTGTAAGACATCATCCCTGGTAACGCTCCCAGCCAAAAAAAATTACCTTAAATAAAATCCAGTTTAAACACAACTTTAAAGGAACTGACTTCCACTCCAAGTACTTTCCCCAAAAAATTTACTGCATTACACTGAAGGCTGGAATGTTGTGTTAGACATATATTACACTTCAACCTCAATAAACCTCTTAAGTCTCCAAATCCTAGCCTGTTTTCTAAAATAGTTCACTAAAAAGCACCAACCTAATTAACAGCTTCCCCTGTGAGGTGGGCCTTGATTTCACTTATTTACACATTAACTGCAGCCTCCTTTTGGCCAATCCAGTCTATTCTCTGTACCATGCCGAGCCTTTTATCTGCCCTGGACAGCATTTTCTCCAGCAGATGAAGTAGATGCCGATTGATTTGCTGTCGAGCATGGTAAATTAATAGCAACAAATTGCTGAGGGCCCGTCTCACTGCTCCACCATGCTTCGGCAGTTTTGCTTTATTTGCTCCATGATGGGCAGCAGTCGGCCTCTTCAAGTCAATTTCTTCTTAACAACCTGCAATACTTTTCAATGGTGAAAATAGAGCTGTTCCTTGTAAGTCAGAAATCAATATCCTATTGCCCTTAGAAAATGCTAAACAAGCAGTATTGGCAATCCACTTGGTACTAGAGGGTATCAGATATAATGCAAATCCATACTGCTTCCCTCCTTGTAGTTATTACAGTTTGCTAAAAGGTTCCTAATGTCATTTATCATCATTTACTATCGACCAGAGAGGCTATGATTATGATATCCTATCAGTTGGCAAGGTCCTTTCATTTCTATTCAATTAATATTTTAGCAGCACTCAAATGGTTGGGGCCCAAGTCTCGTAATAAAATTTACATGGCTTTGAGTGAAATGGGAATGTTCTTGCTTTATTTTATTAAAAAAAAAAAACACACACATATGTATGAACACACACAATATGTAAATATGTATGTGTTGAACTCGCTTAATGAAGTCTACATGTTAGAGATTTCTGAAACTTTTTGACGATCCCTAAAATTCAAGCTCTAAGCAAAAAACTTTAGGAAACATTCTCAGTGCTCTGCTTTTCAGAAGGTACTAAGGCCATCCATTTAGTTTCTATAGGTTGAATCTACACAGCTATTGTTTCTAATTCCCATCTGATATTCATTTCTTAGAGTGGCACTCCCAGCTAAAGGAAAGTTCCCACCAGGAAAAGTCTTTAGGCCTCAAAGGTGGAGGTGGTGGTTACTAAAGCTATCAACGCATGCCTCAGCCCATCCGCCCAGGGTCCCCTGACCCATTTGGAAGCCATGCTATATTTATAAAGAACACTAAGCAAGAGATCATAACAATTAAGCCAATTAAGCTGTAAGCTAACCAAAAAAAAAAAAAAAAAGCCCAGTACAGCACTTAGGGAAATCCCAGGGGAATGAATGAAGGAACCTGTTCTTTCATTTGTAAAAACTCCATTTTGAAGACAACTCAATGAAACTGGTGCCATTAACTTAAGTCCTGATCACCACCTTCAGTTGCACACCAGACCTCAAGATAATAGCCAGGTATTCATCTCCACTAAACCCTAGAGTTCTCCACACTCTAGCTTCTCTGGGGGTCCGTCCCCCATTTCATCTGCTCAGCTCTATCAAGCCCACTAAAGATTACCAGAAATTAGATCCATATGTTATGCTCTAATCCCATGTCATGTCATAAGTTCCCCTTAATAAAACCCCAATAATTCTACCAGACTAATGCTATTTACTCAGTTACCAAAATTTAAATTAATTATGTTCTCAAACATAATTGTTAAAAATTGGCAACATTATGCAGGCTTAATTAAGATTAAATCCAATTTACTAAATGTACTTTAATTGGTACTAATTACATTAGCTTTCATTTCAGAATGACAAATTCCCCACAGGTTTCACTTTATAGTTGTCTATCAGAATCAACACAGGGTGACCGATGAGGGGCACCACAGGAACAGAGGTAGGGGAGAATGGGACCTCCACTCTGTTACTGCTTCACACTTTCATCCTTTTATCAGTTTGCTAAGTCACAGAGTCATGACTCCATCACAACCATCATTTTCTGTTCCAATGAAAAATTTCTCATCAAATAAATTCTCTGTAGCTGGCTCCATCCAAGAAGAACACAAGTGTTAACCAAAAAATACACAAAGGTTTTAAATATCAGAGCCACTAATTACTAGGGTACTTCCAAGGACTCCTGGGACTCCTACTCTTGAACCCTTCAAGACACAAATCTAATAGTGAATAAGCCTAACCCGATCTTGAGAACTAGGTCCAATTATGCCGCAGGGCGACTTCCCTGCATGATTGCTGCTTTCCATTACAAGGGCATCCAGCGAGTGCATCTGGAAGAGAAGCTAAGAGGCGCTGAGGCTGTCCGCCTAGGAAAACAAATAAAGACAGATATGCTTCTCTGCTTACGGGGGAGAAAGAAAGAAAATATAATAAGTAGGTGGTTTGCAGGGCTGTCTGTATTTCATAATGTGATAAACTGCCCTCAGGATTCTCAATATGATTGAATTTAAAAGCAAGAGAGAAAAGGGGAAAATGTACTCTTCTCAATGTTAAATGGATGGCATTTGAGGCCAGCTGGACAAGATGACAGAATTAGAGAAATAAAATGTGTAAAATTAAGGAATCTCGCATGCCCCCAATACTGTATTTCCACATGAAAACCAGACAGCTGAATACGAACTACATGCCATGCACAAAAATGTCGGTGGTACAAGGAGATTTGGAAACTAAGACAGAACAGGAGAAATAAAGGGCCATCGATCATCTGATCCAATCTTTATAAAACATTAACTTTGGTGGAACGGGGCAAGGATAAGCCCCAATCAAAAAAGGGAAGGAAAAAGGTATATATGAAATCCAGACCTAAAATGATACAAATCGAGGATAATTAACAATATCCGTCATGTATTTTATTTCTATAAGGTATGACTAAGCTTGAATAGATTTTGTTTAGCCAGGAGATACATAAACTACTACACAGAAATGGCAGGAATACCAAAATAAGAAATTTAATTTTATATGTGGCATTCAATTTAATTTAATGCATGGCATTCAAACTATACTACATGGTGTATTCCAACACCACACAAAGTAAAACAGTATCTGGAAAAAAAGGTCTTCAATGGAAGTAGTCCCCTTCCCCCCAACTTTTCATCTATACACCTTTGCTATCTATACACCTTTATTGTCTAACAGGCTCCTTTCAAAGATCAATTTTATGTATGTAGGCATGTTCTGAGCAAGAGGCGAGTAATCATATGCAAAAAGGGACCTATATACAGTACAAACCTAATAACACGTGATTATCTCATATTTTCTAAACTTAAAGATAGTACTATCCATCTTGGTCCTAAATAAGACACAGAAATCATGAAGCTCTCCCTTGTCTTTTTCTCAGTAGACAAGCGTACATACACCTATTGTGAAATGGTTGATGAGACCTAAAGCACTTCTAAGATCATTAACAATAAATGCTTCCAAAAGGAATCAACATTGCCAAACAATATTCTGTACTTACGGCTTCTTACACATATGCTATTTTTTCTGTCTAGGAAACTTAAGTCAAATCACTTCATTTGGTCTCTTGAGGAAAAAAAATAAAGCCTGTTTCAATCATATCTCAGTACTTTCTCACTAATCGTGACCTTTTCTGTCTTTTCTTTCTGAATTAGTTGCTCAATTTCAAGCCCCTGAGTTGAGCCTCATCACATCTTCCTATCAGGCTCATTTGCTGGGTACAAATTTTGAAAGTAACAATGGTTACAGTTCACTTAAGACCCAACTAAGTAGCCTCTGGGACCTGTACAGGGATTTTACATCAATTTCTTTTGTAGCTCACAGATTTCATTTTGATCCTCTCAGCTCACCCTCTCTCCATTCTTTCACACCAGGCCAACAAAAGCCATACATCTGCACAATTTTTATGACTTTCTAAGAAAAGCTCTTCCACAAAACAAGTTTGTAATGTCCAAAGTACACAAAGTAACTCCTATAAAAGAAAAATAAAATACATTTTAAAATTGAGTAGCCAGTTTTTGAAAGTGTAAAAGTTTAACAGGCGTTCAAATGTTTTTAAAAATCATTTTAAACTAAATTTAGGATAACATGGATGAAAAGTGAGGAACCACCTGTGAAAAAACAGTGTTCCCTCCAATACTCAGTCTTTAAAATACAGGTAGCTACAACAATGTGCAGAAGAAAACTGCAAAACATAGCATTTTCTTTTCAAAATGTACCAGTATTGCTAGCATTTAAAATGGTTATAAAAAAATAATAACTTACCTGCTTGTGCATTTCTATATTCAACCCATAGGACATTTCGTAATACTGTCAAAGAAAAAAAAGCAATTAAATTTCTGCTTTTTGTCAAATAATCTCCTGAGTTTGCTCCAAACGCTCCATATATGTTTAAAACAAAAGCCTCACTTAAACCAAAACAGCTATAATACTATGTCAATAAATCGACATGCACCACTAAAATTTTTAGTTCAACATACTAAAGCCACCTTAATGCAGGCTCTGAGAATAACTCAGCACAGAAAAATGATGCTCATTCTTAACATCTCCAGCTGTTTTACATTTCATAAACAAATGCATCAGAAAACAAGAAAATTTAGTACCTACTCCTCTAATTCCTAGGCACAGTGGAAATTTGTCTTAAAATTCAATGCCTTAAATGAAAGGTTATGTGCTTAGTTTCTCATTTGTAGGGCACTGTTCATATTCACACATTCAAAGCAAAACGGCTTCACAGAAAATGAACTAGAGTTACTCCAGAGTCTTTCTGAGCAATCATGACAGTTTGCTGCATGACACTTCTAAAGCAAATCTGATTTTTTTGTACTTCTAGTACAACCGGCATTTGCAGAAATTCTAGCAGAACAAAATCAACACTCCTCAAACCAACGCAACACTAGAAATTGAAAACATACATACAAAAATACCAACACAGGAGTAACATAAAGAAGGAGAAAAAAATTGAAAATCAGTTTGCTGTCTCTTTTTATTCACCATTCTTTAAAGGAAATAAGACATTAAAAATTTAAGGAGCACACACAAAAACCGGTTAACACTGGCGCAAGAGTAATAAAACAACAAAGAAAACCACTAACAAAAACATTTTGCTTGTGACTCAACAAAACATAAACTAGGTTTTGTTTTTATTTTATTTTTTTTTTCAGTCTGCAAAAACAAAGCACGGAAAATTATACCCCATGCAGTAGAACTTTTTGAAAATTCAAATGAAAGCTGGTTGTTGGGGCAAGTTCTAACACCCTAGAATTACAGGTTGCTCATGAACACATTCCCACAACCCAGACTGCAATGCCAGGGCCAGGGCTCAGTCCTGCCTTCTGCCTCCAGCAATCTGAACGCGTGCTTGCTCTTGGGATCTCAAGCTAACAGGCACTTGGAGCTGGTGACACGGGTCTCTTACCATGACATAGTGCCGCTGCATCTCGGTCTTCTCACTGGCGAGCTTCTCACATTCCAGCTTCAGACTGTCCAAGACACAGCATAATCTGAGTACAGTGCAGAATTTAGCTTACACCCTCCAAATCCAAACACACTTCCTCATCCAAAGCATCACCTACCAACACCAAATCATCAGTCTTAACCACCACCTCATTAAAGAAAGGCACCAGAGAGGAAAAGATGCCCAAAACCTGCCTGGACTTGCCCCTTGGATAAGAACCAAACATGGTTGTTTCATATTTCTGGCTTTTAAGGTAACTTTTTAAAGAAACAAACCCTCTAATAAATTTAGTTCTAGAACTGCATCCAGAATGGCATATTTACTAAATTCACCTAATAAAACAAGGAAATTAACATCAAATAATGACCATATAAACAAGCACAAGTTCCCCAATTATCAGAGGGAAGGTTTTTTTTCTTTAAGGTTCTACGAAGAGATTAATGAAAATACTAATCAAACAGTCTCATGAATGATGGCTTATTTTTTTTTTCCCCTCCAAAACACACACAAGTTGAATACCACCACCCAGGGGCAAAGTGTTGATCGGGTTCAGCGGCTTGTTTTGCCTCTTGCATTTATGAAATCAGAATTATGCATCATTACAAAGCCAACATAAGAAAAATGCTTCAAAGGCACTCGAAGTCTAATCATCGCCTCTAAGACGAAAACATTGTTTTTTCAGCATAAAAGTAATGGAATCGTTCACTCCGATACTTCCCAGGGCCCCCAGCTCTTCAGTGGAGCGGGAGAGAGGAGTAAGAAATCAAGCCCAGGGTAATAAAGAGCCAAGAAGTCGGAGAGGCCCCAGAATCTTGCCGACCTCCTGTTCTCCCGGCCCCAATAAATCAATATCGAAAGTTTGGCCTCAGCGTTTTCCAAGTCTCCCAGTTTCGATTATTCTGCCTCCGTTTTATTTATGGGAGAAGAAAGGAACGCTTCATTTCTGTACACCTGCCTAAAGGAAAGAGGCCTTGACTTGCCCTTTCGGCCCACAGGGGAAAAAAATAATAATACCTCTGTGATGGGAAAAAAAAAAAAAAAAGAAAGAAAGAAAGAAAAGAGGTTGGTGTTTGTGTGTCTGGGGGGGGGGGCAGGCGACAAGAGCTCAGCAAACACAAAGATCAGCTAAAGTCAACATCGTTACCTGTGGTATTGAGCCTGCAAAAACTGAAACTCTTCCTTAATCCGATCACAGGACTCGGAAATGGTAAATTTAAAGGGTTGAGCAGGCTGATGCGGTGCCTGAAGAATAACAATAAAATATTTCATTAGCCCACCTCGCAGCCCGGCAGGGCGAGGGCGCAGCGGGGGTGGGGGAGGGGGCGGGGAGCCCGCGGCAGGGAGCCGAGAGCCGGAGCGGGGAGAGGGCAGAGGAGAGGGGAGAGGGGACGCGCCCGCCGCCCCGCGCGCCCACCCGCAGCCGCAGCCGGCCCG